ATCTTAGAATTGTTCCACCTTTTCAAGATAGAAGACTCATGGGAGATGAGATTTCAAGATAGAGCTGGAAATCCCTTTATATGCTATCAAAGATGTCTTCTGACTTTAATATTTCGCTTTAAATTGGTAATTAATTCTCTAAGCCTTTCATTTTCTCTCTCCAATATGTGCATGTCACTCAGCAAGAGCCAGTGGATTCTATATAATTGCTATTTGCCCCGATCCTCTCAACTGCTTGCATATTTGCACATACCTTCCTTTTCACTAGTATACCTGGTGAAAATTTTAACAATTGTACTGCTGTAGCACACCATGGACTACTTTCTACCAGTATTTTACCAACTGCCATGATTGACAGGATCCTCACTTCCTGCTCTGCAAATCCCATTTTTGGAGTCTGTTTCCTAGGACTATTCCTGATACCACCTGTCTTAGGTAAGGTTTTGGGGGGAAATAATGATGAAACAGAGATTTGTTTGTAGATAGTTTATAGGGGCATGTTCAAAAGAAAAATGCTGTGAGGTACTAAGGGAAGCAGAATTAGCAGAGAAATTGAACTGTGGTATAATTACAACAAAGGTTTTGGCTGATCCCATGGGGAGTTCTGGAACGAAGATGGCCTTTTAGAGGTGACTTTGAACTTTGAATTTGAAACAGGAGATCTTGGCCTTCGTATACATCTACATTATCTCACTAAAGGATGCAGGCTGTCCCCAGGAGAGGGCATGATCTTAAAAGACACTGTTCCCTTCAGTCAAGGCCAATCCCCTAAAAGTTGGGGAAATGAGTGTCTTTGTCCTGAGATGGTGGGACAGGGGGCAGGGGTGGTTTGGGGCAGCACAAACACAGTTCCATTGCACCAAATTTGTCTCCCATTGGCAGTCCTTTATTTGTTCTATCAATCTATATAATTTTCAAAAACTTGCCTTTATTTTCCTTTTTCTATTCTTTATTTCCCTATCTTTAACATAGTGTCTCTTCTCTCTTGTATTCTTGGCAGTTTAATTTCCAATTGGTTTTCCATTTATTTACTTAGTTCTGTCAGGTTTTGTTTTACATCTTTCTGTTATCTATTTCTGGGTTCTATTTCTGAATTTATGTTCTGTATCTAAGCTCATAAATGTTTTCTTTATTTCAGCTCATTTTAAAATACTGGGTTAGGTTAGTTTTCATTTAATTTGTGTCTGCATTTTTCTGGTGTGTTCATTTTCTACTAGATCTGGCTTTCTATCCTTCAGAAGTTTATTTTGCTGTTCATAATACTTCCTGGGATCTTCTTTCTCTGGATTCTTTCCTTATCCACTACTATTTGAATTTTCCTTTCTCCTTACCCATGGCGTTTCTGTCTTGTTCCATTTGATTTCTGAAACTAGCAGTTTTCTTTTTGTGTGTGGGTTTGTTCTGTAGGAAATACTATGATGAATAGTTCTGAAATCCTCAAGGGCCTAGTTCACCACAGCACTCTTTGATCTCTCGCTGATTCTGTGTAGCTTTTCCCCACTCATCTGTAATTCAGAACCTCTGATGGCTTCTTTGAATGTTTCAGTTGCTCTCAAACCTACTTTTCTAGTTCGATCAAGAGATGATATCTGAGTTTGGAGTGGTGGCAGTGAGGATGAAGAGAATTGAATATCAAGAGAGATATTTTGGTGATATGATCAAGGAGAATTGTTTATGGACTAATGTAAAAGTGAAGAGGTTCTCAAAAATAGTTTTTGGCTTGAACAATTGGACAGTTTTACAGAAATGGGGGAAACGGAGAGGTGAATGGTTGGTAATGGCAGAAGGAAGCACTCTGTGTAGCTACCTATATTGTTTGAAATACCTATTAGATAGCCAAGTGGATGTAGCAAAGAAATGACTTTGAACCAAGAGGAAAAGTTTTGCTTAGGTATTACTTCTTTTGGGAAGTCTTTCCTGAATGCCCACTTCCCATTCCATTAAGCTTGTTACTTTTCTAACCACAGCATCCTTCAGTGCTCCTATTGTAGACTTTATCAAATTTATACTGCAATTTCCTATTTATTGGTCTATTTACCCTGTTAGAGTGTGAGCTCTTTGTGGAATAGAACCTATGCTCTTCATTTTTTCCCCCAGGTTCCTTCCTGGATCAATGCTGACAGTCAGCTCTTATAATTTGTTTAAGGCATGCATATGACAAGACGGTAAATTCCATTTTTCCCCTAAAGCTGCAATTTTTGAAAACTATTTTCCAAATTCAGCCCAAATTTGCCCCCCCCCATCTTCTATTGAGTATATACCTATGAAGCTAGGTGTTATTAATTTACTGTCTGAACACTATTTGTCTTAAATCATAAGTGATCTTATGTCTAGATGAGCATATTAGTCTTTCAAACTAAGCATGTAATAAAAATCTCAACATTTTCACATGTAATGTCTTAAAACTATGCCCCCTCAAATATATATTTGTATTGTCTTCTACAGCCAAAAGCATTAATAGTAACACTACTAAATATCATCTTGCTAGATTCAGCCTCAACTCCAGAAGTAGAGATGATTTTGGGACCTGCATATATATTTAAATATCTTGATTTATATTGTCACCTCCCAGTGCTGAGAGGCAGAAGTTAAGAGCAGGACAAATTTGCCAAAGTCAGGCTCCAGGTCTTTGTCCCCAGCTTCAACCAGAAAATGCTTTTGGTTAATAGAAAACTAATTTTATGATAGAGTTAACATAAAGTTTTTTTTTAAGATTTTATTTTATTTGATGGAGAGGGAGCATGAGCGAGCGCACAAGTAGGGGAAGCAGTAGGCAGAGGGAGAGGGAGAAGCAGGCTCTCCACTGAGCAGGGAGCCCAATCCCAGAACCCTGGGATCATGACCTGAGCCAAAGGCAGAGGTCCAATGACTGAGCCACCCAGGTGCCCCTAAACTTTATTTTTGTCAAAACGGTTTTTGTCCTAGAAATTTTTGAAACCAATTTCTAGAGCAAGTCCCTGGTAACTTTCCCAAGAATGTAGTCAACAGCACACACTTTTCCCTCTCCCAACTTGCCACCCCACCTAATTTAAATGATTTTAATGTTAAAATTTTGTATGATTTACACAATGTTGATGAAATTGTGTGCTTCTAATTTTAATAAATCATTGATCTATTTAAGTTATTTGGAAAAGATCATAGCAATTTGGTGTCTTAGTGAATATTCTGATGATGTATAGTTTTGAATTTCTACCCTCTACCCTTCCATAAAAAAGGGACTTCTGCAAAATAATTCACCAATTCTAAAAATGCTTACAATTCAATAATCTTGTCTTGCGTTTTCTGTGGAAAAGAGCTGCATTTTTTGCCAAATTCAGAAAAAGATCTTGCCATTCGTGTAGCTAATTCACAGTCTATTTGCTCTGCTCTGGTTCTTTCCCCTATCCTTTCACCACTATACCAGATGTATTAAAAAGAGAAGTAGTAGTGTAGCACCAAATAATCTTATACCAACCAAAGTCTTGTGGAAGAAAAGTTAATTTGAGAACTATCTAACTCCCTTTCAGACTATACCAACCTGGTATAAACCCAATCAATCATATTATGCTTTGCCTCACATTTACCATTTCAACAAAATCTCAAGGAAAAAGGACTATTAAATGTGTTGGCTACATGCAGATACATTACCATCTAAATTTATTTACCTTTTTGATAAGATTAACACATCAAGGGAATACTATAGCCTGTTTCTCCTATTCCTGATGACTCCATGTTGGATTTTGATAATATTCCCATAAAGTCACATGGCAACTTGATGGTACAACTGAGACCAGAATCCTGGGATTTGGACTCCCAGTATTACTCTTTCTACTGTACCATGGTGATATTCAATATTTACAGGAGGTGCTAATCATAAAAAAAGGGAGCACCAGTGTAAAAAAAAATCAAGATGAAACAATTTAAAGGTAATGTACTCTCACAGCCCTCTCCCACTTGGGAAATTATTCCTTCTTCAGTTTCAAGTTATTTAGTTGGTCAAATTTTTTAACTTAAAACTGAACTCAAGTCTGCTTCTACTAAGCAAGATGTGAAATAAATGAAATTATTACAATCTCACATTGTGATCTCCTAAGAGGTGCAAACTGCATAATTGTTTCTCCTCTCATTCCCCAAATAAAATCATCTTTGGCTGGCAAATGATTGGTTACACAAAACAATATGTAGAAATTAAAACACTTTATTATAATATAAACATTTGCAGAATATAGACTGATTTTGTATCAGTACTTTTTGAGAGCTTTTTAAAACTATATATCATCTAAACTTACTATAGACTTCCATTTTCACTTCCAGATTTAGAAAATACAAAAATACACTGCAAATTAGATTTAACAAAAAAAAATCAGTCTAAGTTGCTTCATACATTTTTCTTGAAGAAAACCAAGAAACAAACACACAACAACAATAATAAAATATTAACAACACTAACACAAACCTAAACAAGGAATGGATTCTGTAATGCCTGGTAGTTCTCTCATTTAAAATAAATGATCTCCCATGGGTAAATAATTCACCACCACAGCAATTTGATGAACAGAAGTAGGGACAACCTCATTAAACAAAATTACATTATATGTAAGAAACATAATTTTTCTTTTAAGAAAATGAGGAAAAGTAACTTGAGGACAAGGCATATTGAATACTTTTACTTCACTTGGCTTTTGTTAGAGGTTAAAGTTAACTGTTCACTTAGGAAAATTCAAATAACAATTTCATGAAACCAAGCTCTTCAACTTATTTCTTCAACTCAACCTTACGGGAAAAAACTAAAAACAGTTCAAAATCCAAGAGTAGACTCATCCCAAAGCACTATCTTTCTTCAACAGGTATCCTTTTCTTTTCTATTCTTGTGTTGGTATGTTGTTCTTTCTCAGAGGCTAGGTTTATGCTTGTTTCTTCTTTCAATTCATTTTCAGTTTTTACACCCTGCCCCCAAACTAAGCTTTCCTGAATTGACAATGACCATATTCACCTCTTCTCTTCTTCTTTGGATGTTTTTGTTTTTTTGTCTAAATCCATTTTCTAAACTGATTCCTTCAATTCATCCTTAGGCAAATAAAATGAAATGTTCAAATTCCTAAAACAGACTCCTCCAAAAACATTGACTCTGGTCTTTTCTTCAACAGGTTTCCTTTTCTCTTGTTCTTGTTGTGTTTTTATGTTTTTCTTATGTTCTTTCTCAGAGGGTAGGTTTAAGCTTGTTTCTTCTTTCAATTCAATTCCAATTTACACACACAAAAACTAAGCTTTCCTAAACTGACACTGACTGTATCCACTGCTCCTTCTCTTTACTAGATGTTCCTGTTTGTCTAAATCCATATTCTTAAATATTTCTTCAATTCATCTTTGGGTAAACAAAACTAAAAGCTCAAAATCCAAGAATAGATTCATCCCAAAGCATTTCCTCTTCTGTCTTTTCTTCAACAGATTTCTTTTTCTCTTTCTTGTGCTTACGTTCCTCTTTCTCAGTAGGTACACCATGGCTTTTTTTCTTTTTTCGATGTTTAAGCTTTCCTGAACTGACACTGACTTTATCTCCCTCTCTTTTCCTTTGTCGGATGCTCTTGTCCTTGTCTAGATAAGTATCCCCACAACTCTTTTTCCTTTTATGCTTGGACTGCTCTTTCTCTGGCCTTTCTTCGCCTTCCTCCAGGTGCCTTCTTCTCTTCTGATGTCTCCGTTTATGACCTGCTTGATGGTCACTGGTACTGTTTTCTGAAGAGAGGTGCTTGTAAACTTCAGATTCTACACTGTATGGGCCAGAGTTATTTTCTTGCTGACTAAGGCTCAGGGGTACTGGTTTTTCTGAGAAATAGTCTCTGATGGGCTGACAAGAGGTCATGGAGTCTAGTCTCTGTTTGCTGTCATTAGTTGGTAAGCAATGAGGTAACTGGTTTTCTACTGCTTGTGAAATACTGTATGATCCTGTATAGGTCTGGGAAGCCTCAAATGGGAGTTTTTGCTCAAACATTCTATGTTTGGGTCTGGAATCAACCATTTCTTTGTACTTATGGGTTTCTGTAGAGCTATCACTAATCTTTCTAAAACAAGTCTTTGGCTCTAATCCTCTGGCTTTCTGCACTTTGATGTAATCTTCAAGTTCATCTTGGAAAGAATCATAAGTCCTCTTTGAATGAGCTGGTAACCGGTGATGTAATTGGCTTTCTACTGGTGAAATATTATATGGTTGTTGGTAGGTCTGGGAAGTCTCAAGTGAAAATCTTGGCTCAAACATTCTCTGTCTGGGTCCAGAATCAACTTCTCTGTACCTACGGGTTTCCACAGAGTTCTCTCTTTTCTTTCTGAAACAAATCTTTGGATCTAGTCCTCTGGCTTTCTGCACTCTGATGTAATCTTCCAGTTCATCTTGGAAAGAGTCATAGGTCTTCTTTGAATGAGCTGGTGAACAATGAGGTAACTTGTTTTCTCCTGTTTGTGAAATATTGTATGATCCTGGGTATGTGCGGAAAGACTCACATGGGAGTCTTTGTTCAAACATTCTATGTCTGGATCTGGAATCAACTACTTCCCTGTACCCACGGGTTTCCAAAGAACCCCCTTCCATCTTTCTGAAACAAGTCTTGAATTCCAGTCCTCTGGATTTCTGCACTTGGATGTAATCTGCACATTCATCTTGGGAAGAGTCTTGTGTCTTTGAATTCTTCACTAGATTGGTAACAATGGATTCTCTGCAAAGAAGACAGCAGAAAGTTCTTGTTACTAGGGTTATTTTATTCTGAATATTTTCTTTGCTTTCAAAAAGATTAGTTTGGAAAAACAGAAACAACAAAAGCCCAAGCAAATTTTAAAAAACCTACTGCAATATAAAAACTATAAATCATCACTTTTTACACCAAAAAGGAGCAGCAAGCAGGGACAGTCAGATACTTCTCATGTACTTCATGATTTTTTACACACAAAAAAATTTTCAGGGCTGAGATAAAAGGGAAGATGGGTACAAAGATGTAGACATAGCTGCTACTGTCTTAGTACTTAAAATGTAAGGCATGTTGGGATATGTGGAAAAGGATCAATAATATTTAATGCCCCCAAATGGTCTGATCTGAATGTCACATTGTTTTAGAAGTTTTAATTAGCTTCTTGTATAGATCTACAAATGTAGTGGCTATTTATTCTGGAACTCTGAGATTTTAAAAAAAGAGTCTAAATGAAGATTAATCAGACAATTTAGCTCCTAAGTATTCAGACTCAAAGTAGAAATATTTTCTACCAGAATAAAATAATGTAACAGAAACACTATGGTTTGATTTTTAAAGAAACAAACCAAAAATACAATAGTTAAGTGCCCCTCTGTCCTGCTACCTGACTTATCCAATCCCTAATTGTCCATTTAATCCTCTCCTTAAAACAATCAAATAGAATGGAATAAATATTTATTGAGCTCCTATTATATGTCAAGCCAGGCACCTTACAAATATTTTTAACATTTCATTATAACCACTTCATATTGGAGCTGTCCAAAGTTATATACTTGTTAGAAACACAGATCTGATATTCCAGTCCAGATCTGCCAACAGCAAGACCTTTGTTCTTAACCACTGTACCTTGCTAGAAGGATGATGACCAGATCACTGTATCTCCTGAAACTAAGCAACCTTCCAAGACTTATTTGAGTTTGTATAGCTCAATGAGAATGATCCTTTAGTATTTCTCCAGAAAAGGACAATGCTGTCTGGTCAGCAGGGGTGCCAATTATCCAGTTCTGCCAATATACTATCATGGCTAGGAAAGTCCCTAGGGAATTTAAATACCATCACTTTTAGCAGTATCAAATACTATCACCTACAAATGCCATCACCTACAGCAGTATCAACTCATAGGGAAATGAATGCCAAGAAAGTTTGTAAAATACATGCAAGGGTACTTGACAGAAGCCCTGCGCTTTGGTGTCACAGGAGCATTTTGGTAAAAAAAAAAAAAAAAAAACCCAAAAAAAACCCCCCAAAAAAAAAAAAACCCACTTACTTAATTTGGTGTTCGCTTCCTTGCTTATGTGACCGGAACATTTCTAAAGATGTAAAGGTGATATTACAAATATGACAAACGTAGGTTCTCATACTAAATGCTGAAAAAATAGAGAGTCCAAGTTAAGCAGGTCAATGTGGACACACTTAGAATCACAGAACTGGACAGGAATTTACTGAGATTATCTACTGAACTTTCCCAATTTGAAGATAAGGTCCAGAGAGGTCAAATGACTTGGTCAAAGTCAAAGAGCCAGTTAGTAATAGAGATAACCTCTCGGCGCTCATACTTCTTAATTTAGAGCCCAGAATTCTTTACACTACATCACATTGCTTCTCTAGGCTTGGACCCTTTCTTAAGAAACTGCTATCTGCCTGCCTATTGTTTCTACATCAAAGTGCAGCAGGCACTTCAAATTTAGTATGCCCAACCTCTTAATCCCTTAACCAACCTTTCTGCTTGCTCCTAATTCTTTTTCTGCCCAACAAAAACCTGAAAGGTCCCAAAAGATTAAACAAAAGCAAATTTTTACTCTCTTACCTGAAATCACTGTAGTGCATTAGTTTACCGAAAGTAATTTCCACAGACAGATTTTAGAAAGGAGAGAGGTTCAGTGAGCCCCACTCTCAGGATAAAAGCTGAAAGCAAGATTCTAAAACAAAACTACTAGTTACCACTTCAAAAGAGTCAAGAACTATAGATATACCAGCTACCTTTCTATTCTGCTTCTTAGGTAGAATTGAAAGCAGGGGAAAATTAATCGTTATTTTCTTAACTTCATTATTCTTCCACTTCCTCTTTGGTCAGAAGTAGCAAATTAATAAATTTCACAAGCTAAATATGAAATAATCCCACCCTAAAGAAGAGGCAACAAACTGGTGGCTGCAGTAATTTTAGGGTCAAGAGAGGTCATCTTTTAAACCAAAGAGCAATTTAATCATCCAAAGGATGCTAAATTAATCATTATCAAGTATACTGGCTTTGTCCAAGCAAAGATCATTCATAGAAACAAGAGAATATTGTCAAGGGGAAAGAAATACAATAATTTGGAAGACCATGAGGAGTCTGCTTACAATTGACAGATACTCTAGTGGGCCCAGGAGAACTCAGCAGTTTATGCCAAAGACTGAATGAATGATTCCTCATAACTATCCTCTCTGCCAGTGCTCTGATTTCATGCTCACCAAGTCACTTACAGACTTAATTTGGTTTCCCATATTATTTGATCCTAAAAAAGGGATACCTGGGTGATAGATCCAAGTTTTAAAAACCTTGAGGACTGAAAAAATATTTATCTTCTCCTACCATAAATCAATACCAGAATGACAGTGTGTTAACTTAAATGACAGTGTTTCCCAGACTTCTCCGCTAAGAATTACTTGGAGTATTACTTATAGACCCCCAGTTCCCTCCCCTGGAGAACATGATCCACTGTCTCTATGAGAGGGAATTTGTATTTTAACAAATCAGGTAATTATTCTTAGAGAATGTGTGGGAAATACACTAAGGGAATGCCTTTCTTGTTCTTTGGTTATTTATCAGTGTTTGCCAAGTTTGTTTGTGGTCCAGTCAGTTCCTGATTTGAGGTTTATCCATCATGAAGATGCTGGACTTCCTGCAAAGCCAAGGTCTAAAGCCAGGACTATGCATGCTCACAACAAACTTCAAAAAATTATTAATATCCTTATTTAACAAGTGCAAAAATTAACATTCAGATTTGCTTGGCCAACACCATAGATTTTGAGAGCACTGAAATTATGCAAGATAAGCAGGAATCCTGATTTCCTCTAGGTTAGTGGTTCTCAATGCTAGCTACATATTAGAACCATGTGGAAAACTAAAAATATTCATGTTACAGCTCCACATCAGACCATTTAAATCAGAATCTCTAGGAGTGGAACCAGGCTTTCTTACTTTTTGAAAGCATTCTTAGATGATTTTTTTATACAGCCATTGAGCACCACTGCCCTAATATTGAGCCAATGATCTTCATTATGATTATAAACTCAGATTGGATTTTAGGGGTTTTACATATTTGTTTAGTGCTTATAAAGTATACAGTATACATAATATTCTCCTCAGTTCCTCTTTTGTTTTTTTTACAAATTATATCAGAAGATTATAATATAGGTAATATATGGGTTTAGAGAAGCTGCTGGTCACATATAAAAGGTCCAGAGGCAGTTCTGAAACTCTGTGGTCTGATTACTATAACCTTAGCTCTTGTCTTTTTCATACACTGATATTCTTTTTCTAGATATAAAAATCCCAGAAAATAATATATAAAAATGGTGTAAACACTTTCTGTGAAGATATGAAGCCTATTTATTGGCTCCAAGATCAAAATTCCTGGTCTAATCCTTCTGTAACCTGCCTCCACTATGTTTATCTTTTCCTTTTTTAATTGAAATATAATTAATATATAGTGTTACATTAGTTTCAGGTAAACAATATAATGATTCAACAATTTTATACATTATTAATGCTCACCAAGGTAAGTATACTCTAAATCTCTTTAATCTATTCTGTTTCTTATACTTTCTATTCTTCCATCTTGGTCTGCTCCTTGTCCCTGTCCAGCTCTACTGCCATCAGCTCAGCTAGGATTCCTTATTTCTGACTTCATTCACAAACTCAAGCTTCTTCAAATCTCATACCTTTTAGAATTTTCCATAACCAGACATCTGTGGTGCCCATTTTTCTCCTAATCACAGCTCTATCTTATAACTCCCCAGACTGAGATCTTTGTTTTCAAAGCACAGATTGGGGAAGTACGTATCTCTATAGTCTACTGTTGTGGTTCTCAATCTTAGCTCTATATCCTAATCAGTTAGGGAGTTAAAAAACAGAAAACAAAACACTAATGTGTAGGTCCTAGGGATTCTAATTTAATTGATTTGTGGGATGGCCTGAGCACTGAGATTTCTAAAAGTTCCTTGCATAATTCTAACATGTAGTCAAGGTGAGAACCATTGGTCTAACAGCTTAAATGGAAAATAACCAATTGAGAGCCTCATATAAAGAAAAGTGCAGCTTCATGTGAATTTACTTTATGAAGAAAAGTAGAAAAAGTCTAATTTACCTGTTTTTAAATTACAACAGGAGAACAAACATTTCAAAAAAAGGTAACATTTGTTAAGCACCTATTCTGTGATGGGTACTGTGCTGTTTCATTTCATCCTTTGAAAATCCTGTGAAGTAGCCTTATTTTCACTTTACACCTGAGGAATCTGAGGTACAACTGGGTAAGTGACCTCAAACATATCTCTCAATCTATGTTTATCCTTCTATATGACACTGCCTTTCAATAAACAATTAGCAAATAATGAAAAAAACTATGTACTTATTACCATATAAAGTGCTAAGATGGATATTGCAGAATAAAATATAATCTTTTGTCTCAAGGAGGCTAATTCATTTAAGGGGCTATAATTAGCGCAACTCTCAATGAACAGTGAAGTCTATGAGGAATCAGAGGAGGGGGAGAATATCAGCAGCCAGACAAGTGAAGGAAGTTATGATGGATCTGGGAGGATAAGAAGGATTTGGATTGTAAGGAAGGCATAGAAGGGCATTGCAGGGGATGAAAACAGTATCAGATATGGGAGAGACAGAAATGAGCATGATGTGTTGACTTCAAATAATCTGTTCAAAAAACACTAAGCACCTATGTGGCACCAAACATCACGCTAGATTCTATGGGTACAAGATGAATAAAATGGGCAGGTTGCTCACAAATGCAAGTGAGAAACATATAAATAAAGAATTTCAATCTCATTTGGTAAAAGGTAAGAGGTATGCTTAAGGGGTATGGGAGCTCAAAGAAGCAGAGGCACTTAGCACAGTATGGGGGTCTGAAGAAGGCTACTGGAAGAGATGATGCCTTAGTTAACTTGGAAGGATGAACAATAGTTATCTTGTTGAAAAGAGTTGAGAATAGTATTGTATGGAGATGGACTAGCATGATAGAAACATAGAAGTGTTTAAAAGAACTTCTTAAAATTTGGAATTGTTGTAGAATAAAATATAACAGGACAATATGGGAGAGGCAAAAGGGTTTCAGGTCAGAGAGATGTAAGTGTTATGCTAAGGAGCCTAGACTTTTTATCCTGTGTATTGGGAAACCTTGAAATGCTTTAAGTAGTAAGTGACATGGTCAGCTGTGTGTTTTAGAGAAGTCTCTTCTGTAGCTGCAATATGTAGGTTAAATTTGAGAGGAACAAGCCTCAAAGTAAGGAGACCACATGTATGTAAATAACTAGACAAGGCAAGAGATAAGGAGGGCATGAGGTAGAACACAGTAGGGATAGGCAGGAGCAGGGAGATTGGTGAAATATACCATCAAAACTGGAAAAACTAAAAAAGAAAAAACCGGCAAAACTTGGTGACTGATTGAATGTGGGAGATAAGTTTATCTGAAAGGTGTGAGAGGGGGAAGCATAGAAGAGTGGAAGAGAGTCCTGGACAGTGGTGTGGGTTTTAAAATCTTTGCTGAGAGGAAAGTGAAGGAAAAGGTAAAGGATTAAACAGGATGACAAGTTCACAGAGATTGGATTCCAAGACTCTATCAAGGTACCCAATCTCTAGATTTACATAATTTTCCACAGCATCACTCAGTATCCTGAATGTAAAAGTAGAAAATGGGGACTGTGGAACTGATCCAGGGTTGAAATCTTGCTACTGAAGAACAAGAGAGTAACAATGAGGTATATGTAAGGCCCTCCAGGAGGTTGTTACAGGATTGAAGTGTGAAATAATGATAGTGGAAATGTAATGGAAAGGAAAAATAGTTCTAATAAGATTTGATAAGACTTGTTGATGGACAAGATAGAGGAAAATAAAGTAGTTGAAGATGCCCTCAAAGATTCAAATGTAGGTAACTAAGAAATGGTACGACAGGCAAAGACAGGAATCTTGGGAAATTTAAGTTGGTTTTAGAGAAGATTATTAATTCAATTTTAGGTATGTTGAGTTACAGATCAAGGTGAGATATCTAAGTGCAATAATGAAGCTAGAAATTAGTAAGATAAACAAAACAAATACAATAAATAAAAAATACATACATACTTTAGTTCCATATCGTTATGGTAGCCATTCCTGTGCTAATAAGATCTGGGCTGGATGAGGGACATGAAGAAAGCAGTGAGAATGATGAAGACAGACAGAGATTAGGTATAGTAGGAACATATATAAACAAAACAGATGGAAAAAAAGGCAGAGACAGAAAGAAGGGAGAAGATGGGTTGATGAATGAAATAGTCAAAGTGTCATATATCAAACTGTTTCTGTCTTACCACTTGCTTGCTTATAATATGGGCTTCTGCTGCTCTGTTCTTTGAAATTCTCATTAGCTAATTTAAATTCTCCAGCTATTTTTTAATCCTCAAATGTTTACTGTTCTTAAAATGGAACAGTCAAAAGCAGGGCTGGAAATTTGTTCTTTGAGCTCTATTATGCTAATGGTCAGCCTTCCTCCCTGGCCAGATGAAAATTTCACCAATATCCTTCCCTTATTCTAATAACCTTGAAACTTCAGAATGCTAACATGACTCTCCCTTTAGAAGTGACCAGGCTATATACATTTCTCATAGCTGACTCAGTTCCAATTTTACCTAATGCTGGCCTTTAAACTAGAAGGTACTTATTTCAGATATCCTCACCCTAGCAATAGGAAAAATACCCTAACAATTAGTTAAAGCTTGTCATTTCTCCAAACATCTACTACTTTTAGAAGCTCTACCACTTTTTTTTTTCATTTTATTTCTTTTCAGTGTTCCAAAACTCTACCTTATATTATTACTTTTGCCTAAATCAACATTCTTCAAATTCCTAGATAAAAACATGGATCTCTATGTAACTTTTTGGGATATGTTGAATCATGTTAATTAGGAAACTTAAATAGTATAAACACAGGGTTAGCATTCAATATATCAAGATTAGTAGTTCACTCATTCTATATTAAACTAATTGCTATTGAGGGAGGCCTACTCTGTGCCAGTTTCTATTGCTAGCACTGGAAATACATTAGAGTTAGGTGAAATCCCTTCCCTCAAAGACCTTACACATTCTAGTAGGAGATAAAGACACATGGAGAGAAAATTATACATGCAGGTTAAGGAAGCACAGAAGATAAGTCTTGAAGGAACAGAAAAGGCTTCCCAGGAAGTAGTATGTTAAAGAATGAGCAGGAATTAGATAAAGAAGAGGAACATGGAGATGTTTCAGGTAAAATGGCAGCATGAAAAAGGGCACAGAAACAAGAAATAGGGTAATGGTTTCTGGAAACCATAAGCAGTTTGTTGGTTCTGACCTATACAGATATGGCAGGAAGTAGCAGGGGATAAGCCTGGAGAATGTATGCAGGGAAAGATGATAAAGAGCTGTGAAGCTTAGATTTTTATCCCCAGAAAAAGGAGAATCAAGTGAGGATTTTTAAAGTAGGGAGTGACATGGAAAGATGTGCACTTTAGGTTAAACACTCTCATGGTTAAATTGAGGGTAGATTTGGAGAGACAAAACTTATGGTAGGGAGAGTGGTTAGGAGGCTGTGGCAATATTCTAGAACAATGCTTCTCAAAATTTATTGTGAGAACAAATCACCTAGTGATCTTGTCAAAATGCAGTTTTTGATTTAGTAGGTCTGCAGTGAGGCCTGAAATTCTTTTTTCTAACAAGCTCCCAAGTGATGCTGATGATGCTGGCCACAAACCATACTTTGAGTAGCAAAGCTCTAGGAAAGATGTGGAGGGCCTGAGCTAGTATGGGGAGAGTAGGGCTGGAGATAAGGGAACAGGTAAAACAGTCACGGCTTGGTGTTTCATTAGATATAAAAAGTAAAGAAGGTAGTGTTGGGGAATTCACAGTTAACTACAGGTTTCTATTCCGAGTGACTGAGTGGAATTGAAATGGATATGAGGTATCCAGGTAAAGCAGTAGCTGCCAGTTGGAGATATGAATCCAAAGCTTGACAGAAAGGTCGTAAGCATACAGACAAGAGATGAAATCAGGGGAACAGCTTAGATCATGTTTGTAGAATAAGGTCAAGAATGGAGCCACAAGAACACCTACATTTAGGTAATGCATTAAAAAACATCCCCCAAAGAAAACAGAAAAGAAACAGAGACACAGAAGAACCAGAACATAAGGAATTACATATGACAAAGAATAGGGCTTCAAGGTGGGAGAAATGAACATTTTCACATGAAGCAGAAAGTTCTAGTAAGAAAAGAATTGAAAAATAACAGCAAGTGGAGGAAAAGAAGTGGATGGAAGGGAGAATATGAAAAAGGAATAAAATACACTAGTAGTGAGAAGGTGCCTGTGGGGGGAAAAATAAAAAAAAAATATGGTTAGAAGAGCAAGTGGATTATTCCAGTCAGGATCAGAATCTTTATTGTGCCTGAATTCTTGCTACTCTTTCTAGCTCTTTTGTTAATTCTCCTTCCCACTTCTACCACTCTAAGTCATATACTTCCTCAATGAAGGTTTTCTGAACCATGGTGTTTCACTCCTCTAGTTACCAAAAATATGTACACAAAAATTCATGTCTGTAGCCTCTTGCAATGAAGTGTTATAAACCCAACAAGTTTATACACTTGCTCCTTCAGGGAAAATGGTATATCCTCCTTTGTATTCCCAACAATGACTAGCCTAGCACCCTAGAGACACTTAAGCCATACTTAGTGACTGAATAATATAAGCACACAACACTAACTAAAAATACTTACTTAATGTACCTATGACATAACGTGGAACCATGGGGATACCTATATTTGATCCTATAATTAATAAATGCCATCTAAACTTTTCTGAGTCTCATTTTCTAGAAAACCAACAGACAGAACTAGATGGACTCTGAAGTCCTTACTCATCTAAAATTGTATAATACCATCAGTACTAGCAACCTACAGCAAATTGATATATACATAAGTTGGTATGTTTTATAAAATATAAACTTCCTATGAAAGAGTTTTGGGATATTTTTACTGTTTACCATTTGCATCTGATTTTGCTGGAAGAGGTTTCTCTCTTATGTTGTCTACAAACTTCTTTCTAGCTTCATTTCTTTTGTGTTTTTTCCCAACATAATGCTGTTGGGCCATTAATGGACTATTAAAGGAAGCAGGACAGAGCTTGCAATACTTGGTTGGATTATTCAAATCCAAAGCACTGCTGGAAGAGGAAGGCATAGTCTTGTCTTTAATCCCACCTGGAGGAGGCTTGACAGCAAGGGGCTTCAGAAAAGTTGATTCTGCAGAAGTAGTAAGAGGCACACCTGCTGAAATAGTTGTAATGAGAAGTAATCAACATATATTCAGTTAATAGAGCTACATTCATTACAAAGTATTAGGGGAATTCAGAATTCTTTGAAAATTGCTATCTCTGGGCTTTTTTCCACACAGGGCTGTTGGATAAAGGCACTCAGGTTAAAAATAATTTACTTTTCTGTGGGAATAGAATTTTTTTTAAAGATTTTATTTATTTATTTGACAGACAAAGATCACAAGTAGGCAGAGAGGCAGGCAGAGAGAGAGGAAGGGAAGGAGGCTCCCGGCTGAGCAGAGAGCCCCATGCGGGGCTCGATCCCAGGACCCTGGGATCATGACCTGAGCCGAAGGCAGAGACTTAACCCACTGAGCCACCCAGGTGCCCCACGGGAATAGAAATTTGAATACAAGTCTGTCACCAGGTTTCTTCAACATAAGTACAAGAAGGAATATTCAACATCAGGCATTGGCTAATTATATTTATTGGAATAATCAATGAAAGCATGAGAGCTTAGGATGGTTCTTAAAATTAGTGAGGATAAAATAGATGGTACCAACTTCTAAGCTGGTGTCTTTCTTGAGTACCCCAGTAAGTCTATCCAGTCCAGATTTGTGGTATTTGTATCAAAATAAAATTTATGCAGTTGTTTAAGTCTATAAAATTATATGTTTCTACAATTGTAGTTACTTCAGAGTTCTTACATTTAGTATCCCACATGAGCTTAAATTGATGAATTTGGGGGACTGAAAACAAGACTTTACAAGATGCTTTCTATTGTAGGGCATACTGATTCCAACCCTCTTTAGAAGATAGGAAGACAAACAAATACACAAAAATTAGAGAGACTAGAATAAGTTTAAAAATAATTCCGGTTTAATTTTTTTTTATTATTATTCACAGTATTCTTTTATTTATTTATTTATTATTTCAGTTAGCCACTGCATAGTACATCATTAGTTTTTGATGTAGTGTTCAATGATTCATTAGATGTTTATAACACCCAGTGCTCATCATTATTAAGAAAACAGTATGTTTTAAGGTAGGGTGAGGCCTCCCATATGAGTTGGAAATTTATGTTGGTAAATTTTCCATACTACGCATGCCTTATTCCTAAAGTGTTGAAACTAGTGAGAATGTAGTATTATTTTTTACAGAGGATTAATCATCTCATTTTTTATTCTAGCACACAAATTTTTCAAAATACAAGTTCAGTTTTCCAGGGTATACTCTGCCACCTTAGGCCAGAAGCGAGATCTTTAGGTTAGATATCTCATGGGCTGATGACTCAACATCACTGGAAGGAGGAAAGAGGCAATGTTTTATAGTTCTGTGTGTCTTTGTGATCTAGCATAAAATAAGTACCCATTACTGATTGATGATGTTGGTGGCACTTTATATTTATAAGAGGAATGAAGTGAACTATCAGGGTAGAAGGAGATTCTGTAACTTATTATTTTTTTTTTGCTTATAGTTATAGTCAGAAAACACTACACCATAACTATATTATAATGAAAATACTGGTGTGAACACATATGTGAGATAATGTTCTAGGAAGAACTAAAGAAGAAAAAATGAGATTGATGGCAAGGAAAAGAAGAAGGAGCTAAGTGAGATTTTATGATCTGATTAGAAAATGGAGAGCCCAGGCCGCTTTTTGTTGTTTCTTCATAGCAGCATAGCAAATCACCTGCTTTCATTTGTATTTAATAAACTAAAAGGTAAAGGTCATAACATTTCTTAAAATTCAGCTAGCAATTATAATCTCCATATTAAATGACAAAGACACAGAAAGAGATTAACTGGGCAGAAGAAGAAGAATCAAGTTATTACTCCAGAGTGAAAGTCTCTCCAATAAAAAAATGGATAGCGAAGTTGGAAAAAAATGATCAGGAGACCCTGTACTGAAGCCAAAGAGGTGAATGTAATCTTACCCATCTCTGGTTGAAATCCTGATGGAGATGCCTGATCATGCTCCTCCATTAATTGCTTCAGTTTTTTAGCATGGACTTTTCCCACATAGTGAGACTGAGCAACAATTGGGGAGCTAAATATCATGTTGCAGAGATCACAAAATTTATTTCTGTCTGCTACTTCACTTCTGTGGACCTGAAATAAGCACAATCTTGTTAAAATGATTTGATAACTCAAAGTTTAGAATTACGACATCAATGTAGGCCACTTACCTGAAAATTCCTAACATCCATCTTCATTTTCTTACCAGGCACTTCATTTTGTTCCCCATGCATTTGAAAATAAAACCTAACATTTTGAGCATGTTTTTCACTCTGAAAAAAGATATAATATGACTTCGTTTATGCAATAACAGAAGCACCCTGAGTTTACACCTCTTTGGATTTGAGGATAGCACTTGTGAGTTGTAATATACGTGGTGTTGTATCATGTTTATGAAGGAGCTTCACATGCTTTTTTCAAATCTCTGAATCTCATAATGAAAATGCTATAATTTAGAGATCAATAACTTTTATGTTGTTGAC